TTTTTTTTTTGTCTTGGTGTATTGACCTAGTGTGGAAATATGAAACTTGGTACATAATTACCTACCGGGATCCTGCGTGCAGAAAAATTCAGACTTTGGAATGAAATGCCCTGGGGGCATACATTTCAAAGGGAGATGTTTTCACATAATTTATTGCGTTAGTTAAACCGATGGAAATGGAAAGCTGGAACTTTGCATGAATGTGACTACCAAGATAAGGAGTTAAAGAAAAATTTTCCTCAATTTTCTGATCCAGCAAAACGGAGTGTGCCTGAAAGTTTAAACTTGGCAAAGAAGTACCTGATGAATAGCTAGGTAGAGAAACAATTCTACTTTCATATTATATATAGATGATTGTGAGTAGCTGACTGACTGACATAAGTAGCTATTCACATGCTGAGTTCAGGAAATATTCCACCTTGGTGATGCACGCCATAGGGGCACACCTTTTCAGGGAACATACTTTCAAATAGTTCTCTTTGCTTCAATTAAACGGAGACCCATGGAAAGCTGTAACATGGCAAGAACGTGACTCTTAAAGCACTCAGCTCAAATGTCAAATGTCGAATTTCCGAAATATTACCGCCAGCAAAAAAGGAGAAACTTATAAGGCTGAAACTGGGTGGCATGGAGTTCCCTGAGTCTATATTTCAGAATAAAAATTAATTTACGAAATATTTTTGGGGTTCATTTTTCTTGGGAACGTAACGTTTCCAAAGAATTTTTCATATCCTACCGAATAGGGCAGAAATAGAAAGTAGCTGGCGCACGCATAACAGCCGTGATGTTGATTTAAGGAAAAAGTCAACTATTGTTGTGTGTCTCCTCAGAGCGCAGCTATTCGGTGGGTCGTTTTTCCAAAAACATTTTTTTATACCAACAAAAAGGGGAAATGTATAAGGCTGAAATTTGGTGGCATGGAGTTCCCTGAGTCTACATTTCAGAAGAAAAAAAAAATTAGTTAAAACCCATCAGGGCATTTTTTCAGTCCCATTTCCCTGAATTTGTTTTTGATCCAACGAAACAGAAACATAAAACTTAAACATCCCCCAGAAGTGCCTGTTTGATGGCTGAGTAGAGGAAAAATCCTACTTTTGAAAAATGTTCCCTTAGCGTAGATTATAGGAGGGAAGTATTTCAAAATTTATTCTCCGCCCTTACAAAAAGGGACACAAGAAAAGATTTCAAGTTAGGCACAATATAAATCATATAGGTAAAGATTCTGATAAAATCAAGGCTTTTGCCCCCATATATCACGTATTTCAATGGGGACGTACTTTAAATACGTGTTTGCCATTTCGCAAGGAATAAATGAATTAATGATCCTCCAAGGTAATGCAGCGCCGAAGGCGCAACCATCATCGCTAGTAAGCATATATATTTTGATGTGCAGTTGTAACACGTGTGCAGTTCTGAATTGGAATTTGTGCAGCTCAAAACTGGGCAAGAATTACATTTTGAAACAAAAATTTGACTTTAAATTGGTGCTAGGCCTAAATCGAATTTTTCTACCCAAGTTGTTGTGCTCCGGCAAGGGGGAGGGAAGCATCATTCCTACAGTGGGGCTATAATCATGTGTCCAGTTCTGACTTTTTCTTACACTATGCCAGGAAAAGATGGTTTTCCAAGGCTGACGCATGTAGGAATACTCTTTAGGCCGACATCTGCATATTCGGTCTCGTGACGTGTCGTCTGGCGTGGCTGGCAGCATTGAAAGTACGAAAGGGCACTTGAGTGATTACTGGTGATACGCTTTACCATAAGAAGAAAAAGAGATGGAACCTATTGTTGATGAGAAAGCTGGGGAAACATCTCTTCAATGTTGATTGAAGAGATGTGAACCTACTCAATCGAGTAGGTTCACATTGGTCGATGTGGAATCGATTAGCCGTGGACGATGAGCGATTAGCCAAAATCCTTTACGGTATGCGACAGAAATTCTGTTCATTCTGATCAAAATATGAAGTCAGGCAATGGAAAATAAACCATATCCCATCACAAATTAGCAAATGCCCCAGCTTCACCCCGGAGGTGTCGAAGTGAAAATCTGTGAAAATAACATAAAAAAGCTTAGCTTACTCTCGATGCAACACGATTCGCGAAATCGTCTGACGTCGTTCGAGCTCAGACCGTTCGCGCGCCCACATTCCGATCGTTCTATTTTTCTGATGGTTTTTCGACCGACGCCAACTGGCTGGGAGCGATCTGGCCCCGATCAGATCCACCTAAGCCCAACTCCGACCAGCATTCAGGCCTCTCGACTCCAATCGAGTGGGAATAGATTCAGTTTTACGAAAGGGGACCTTAGCCCGGTGCCCGACGGCAGTAGCGAAGTCTGCAACAAGATCTCCATTCTCTTTTAGGAAACTCCAAGTCTAATTTATTTTACGTTTCTTACATCGATCCTCACATCGATTCGGACCCGGAACTGCCGACAGACTAGGAGGATCCTATAAATAAAAGAATAAAGAAAGGGGACTGCAAAAATCTGGAGAAACAGGTTTGACTTTGGAATCCCTCCGGAAATCTAAACCTAGTAGAACAGAAAGCGACCACTCGTTTACCCTCCCTTGCCGCCGTCTCTTGTCACATTGCGAAGCGAATGAGCTAGGAGGAGAAGCGAGGAAGAATTTCGCCCCTCCTGGGCCATGACCCCTGTTGAGTGGACGGCGATCAGTCACGGCCGAGGCTGCCAGCCATCCATCAACCTCTTGCGGCACTGGAAGGAGGGGAAGGTGAGAAAAGGCTCGCATTTTACGGAATTCAGAGGCGTATGAATAGGCGAATCCTTCTTCTCGTTCTCTTGAAATGATAGGAATTTTGTGGTCTATCAGATGTTGGAAATACTATGTTAAATAAAACCTTCTTCCTGACAACGTCGAAAAACTGACAGACAAGCAGAAGCTTCTTTTTTTTCCTCTCGGCTTGATGTTCTTCCGAGCTTCAGTTTAGAAAAAACAAAAACAAAAGAAAGAGAACAAGGGAAAGTAGGAGAATGGATCTACCTTTTTCTACCTCGCACTGAAAAGTACAGTGCATGCGTTCCCCGTCCATGTTCTTGCACTGAAGAAGGGAAAACGACCGAAGACCGTCAGGGGCATCCGAGAGTCTCCCTTAACAATCCGGCAGGCGCGAATGGGGAATTCGTTCCCACGAATAGGAGAGCCACGCTCGGCCATCGCGAGACCTCGGTTCATTTCAAAACGACAGTTCATTCGCGGTTTGGTTCCAGTTTCAGTTCACGCTCTGGTCTGAAGTACCGCTATGCTCTCGTTAAGTTCTATCGCGAAGAAATCCCAGCCGATACTGCGAATGAACTAAACTGCTACTGAACTGCGACTAAACTCCAGCTTTGAAATGGGCAAATACATATTGTCCTCGTCCATTTCTGCCAGGACTGTTTGCCGCATGGTTCTATTTATGTGCTGTGTGCACTGAACACGCAAGGTCGCAATAATAGGGGTAATATGGCCTCTCGGGACCAATTAGGAAAGGGTCCAAATCCTCATTTCCCGTGCATTTTTCTAGCTGGGATTGAAGAAAGGAGTCATCAATCAATATTTCAATCAATGAAAAGAGCTATAAAAAAGGCTGAGAATAGAATTTCTGAAAACCTATCGATATTCAAAACTTTCACAGCCTCCAAGTCCTATTTATATTGTGAACATGGCATCAGAAGACATTTATTGCTATTATAACGTTTTTGCCCAAATTCATCTTTGATGTCCAGCGTGAAATATTTCCATTCCTGCACCAAAGTTCACTCAGAATCTCCGATTTTTTTCTCTATTTTTTTCCAAGCCTTACATATCAACCTTCCTAGAAAAATGACTCTCTCTCGTACTTCTGTCTGCATCAACGTTTATTACAATGGGTTCCAGGCAAGGTAACAAAATCGTTTCGCCTCTTCTCTTAGACTTGAAGAAATTCTTTCACCTGATCCTCTGTCACCAGTCCTAGATAATCGATTCCATAATAGATGGAAGGAACATTCCCAATCGAAACTTGAGAGTGACCCGATCATAATAGTATTGATACTTCCTGACCTGATTGTAGAGCCTTGTTCACGAAGTCGGTGGTGGCGTGCTTCAGAGATCCGCTCGGACTCTTTGTCTTAGCTGAAAAACACGAGAGGAATGCGTCGAACGCTAGAAGGAAACCGGAGAAATAAAAGAGAGAGGAGACGAGGTGGGAGACCATATCCCATGATGTTGGTCCAGCCGGGACATATCACTTTCGTGTCGTGATACAGTTCCCATCTGTAGAAACTGGGGGACGTGGAGAAGTTGCATTGATGACCCAGAAACTCCATCGTTTCGTCCTTCCACGGTCTGCACAGATCAACTCCCCACCAATAACCGTTGTGCCATTTAAGCGGTTCCCTCGATGTCTGATGTTTTTGGGTCACCCCATCAGCTTCCCGACGACGAGTCCCTCCAACTTGTCGGCCGTCGGTTCTACTGTTGTCGAGGCATAGATGGAATAGAGAAAAGTTAATCCTGGCAGCGAAATCTATCAATCAATTGGAAGAGACTGTAGGGAATTAGGATCAATTTAGTCTCGGTCTCGACGCGTGAGAGGAGCGTTTAAAACAAAATATTCGGCTCAAAATATTCGGAAAGGGAATCTGGTCGATCCCAAAAGATGAAGGGCAATATTTTCCCATATGAGATGATCCAGTGGGACCTTTGTGAGGGCCCACTGGACCTTTACAAAGGCTACTTGACCTCGTATCGAAGATGTGTCTGTGAAATCAATTAGAGTACGATGAGGTCCTTTGTTAGCGACCAGCAAGAAAGTCGCAAAAAAAAAGTATTGTCACTTTGGGAAGGTCCCTATTATTCGATACGGAATCAATAGCCGTTAAGCAAGGATTCTTACGCAGACTGGGTTTTACATAGATTTTGTTTATTCTGATCTACACTCTACTACGTACGATACAAAATGGGTTCCTATTAATTCCAGCGGGAGGGGAGGATATACCAAAATCTTTCAGTACAACTTAGCGAAAGAAAGCTTAATTCGTGGGATATGAGAAAATCTCAAGAAAAAGACAAAAAAAGAACTCTCTCACCCCCGATGCAGTGCAGTCCACGCGTAGTCGTGCGATCGGCGGCAATCGCGGCCACGACAACGATATCGGAAGGTGTTGCTCGAGCTCCAACCGGCTCCAATCAGCGAGGAACAGAATCTGGCTTCAACCAGCAATTCTGGGACACTTCATATCCCCCCTTAGAGACTCCAACATGAGTTTATATAGCGTTTCTTGCGTCAGTTCGCGTCACGGTAAATTCCTCCTCTACTTTCAGTCATGCATGGCTGAAACCTGCTGGTCTCCTATCTGGGGCAGAAGGATTCATCGAAGGTAGTCAGGATGGTATCATCAGTACTGTTGAGAACCGGTGAACCTTGGGAAGATCTAGATTCCACCTGTGGGGGGGCCAGAGACGCTCTCCCACCATTTTTCTGCCTACATTATTCGACTAATCGTTAAAATAGTCATCACAACAATGCTTTGCGCGTGCTTCGCTACCATCTGAAGCATGCTTATGGGATCGACAAAGATCCTGCTACCCCATGGATTCCTACGGAGGTGGAGTTAGAGCGTATAAGCGTAAAGAGCTTTTGGAATTACGTTCACTCCACAACCAGACTGCTCACTGCTGCTACGAGAACGGACATTATTTGATGCGTCTACGAGGTCTTTATGATCGAAATTTTCAGCCCATTTGAGAGGAACATCTGTCGCAAGGAGGGGAAAAATATGTAAAAAATACCAGTAACTATTGTTGGAACTTCGAGGTTACCATGGTGGTGGGCTGTCCTGACGGCAATAAGAGCGGGCAGTAGGTTACAGAATTGGAGAAGATCCCAGTTTGCAGGTCCAAGGCATTCTCATTGGCCGGTCGCACGGAGGAGGATGTCCTTGGCTCCATGCAGATCCTTCGCTTTCACACGGTCTGAGTTTTTCGCCTGAAGCCACCTTTCGTCGCTTTGTGGGACGCGGCCAGTTTCTTTTATTCCACCCGCTACCCTCATGTTAAGGGTTAAACTTAATCTTGGGGGGAGGATGTGGTCAGGATGAGAGATAATCGGTACATTCCGTCAATATGCTGAAAATAATGATGGCGGCGTTTCGTGGGAATTAATAAAAAAAAAAGCTTTTTTGGCTGCATCCACGTTTATTTCAATGGGTTATAGGAGGATAACAGAAAATCGCTTCGTCTCTTCTCTTAGGCTTGAAGAAATTCTTTCACCTGATCTTCTGTTACCAGTCCTATGTAATAGATTCCAAAGAGATAAAGGGAACATTCCAGATCAAAATTTGGCATCAAAACTTGAAAGTAACCCGATCATAATAGTATTGATACTTCCTGACCTGATTGTAGGGCCTTGTTCACGAAGTCGGTGGTGGCGTGCTTCAAAGACCCGGTCGGACTCTTGGTCTTGGCTGCAAAATACGAGAGAAATACGTCGATCGTTAGAAGGAAACCAGAGAAAGGAAAGAGAAAGGAGATGAGGCGAGAGACCATATCCCTCGATGTTGGTCCAGCCGGGACATATCACTTTCGTGTTGTGATACAGTTCCCATCTGTAGAAACTGGGGGACGTGGAGAAGTTGCATTGATGACCCAGAAACTCCATCTTTTCGTTCTTCCACAGTCTGCACAGATCAACTCTCATAACCAATGCGCTTGGTAAGCAATATCTTCAATGTCTATTTGACTCACCCCATCAACTTCTCGACGGCCGGACCGATGAGTTCTTCCCACCCGGCAGTAGCAGAACCGATGACCAAGAAGGCGAAGATGAAATAGGATAACTTCATCCTGGCAGCGAAATCTATCGATCGGTATAGAGGAGCTTGGGAATTAAGATCAGTTTTGACTCGGATCCAACGCGTGAGGGGGCTTAGCCAACAGGAAAAATCTACTCAGGAAATTCATAATAAAATTTACTGATCAATTTTTATGGGACAATATTGTCCCAAACAGGCCGATCTTGTATGGCCTTGTACGATTAAGGATTGGAGAATCACAGGCATTTATGTGCCCGAGGTTGTCAAGCTATGAGCAACTCGGAAAATCTGAGAGAAGGAAAGGCTCTTGCTAGAGAATTTAAACCAACAAAGACAAAAGGACCGCTGAAATCTCACCAAAGAGAAACACGAGCCAGGAACAGGGGGAGAGGAAAGAATGAAGGTCGGCTCTTTCTACCTCGCAATATGATGCATTCAAGTTCATGCCCTGGCATTAAAAAAAAAAAAGAAGGGAAAAAGGGCGTTACAAGGCCCAGATTCTTTCGTGTTGATTCATGATCCTATAGTTGTGATGTGTCATGATCGGTACAGTCCGAACTTTATTGCTCTCGAACTTCCAGCGCCTCTCGTTGATCATGACTTTGTATTTTGCCCAGACACGCTCCTCGAACGGGAAGCGATTGGACATCGTGAGCTCCTCACAGAGGGTAGCAGAGCAGATCATTTGGTACGCTAGAATGGCAGAGACGTTTCGAATAGGCAGAAGGTCTTTTTCATCGAGGCACTTTTCACCTTGTCCCAACTCAAAGATGTGTCGAAGTTTCAGGTAAGGGGTAGTTATCTCGAGCGGTGAGCTTATCTTGTCGGTGAAAAGCTTTAAGGTGGCCTCGATATTCAAGAGTCAAGATAGATAGTGACATCAAGAGGCGATTTCGCCCATTTCGATATCACGTGTCGAGGTCGAGCGTTCCTTAATTTTAGGGTAGGCCTAACCCTCTTAAAGCTATATATTTTTGTATTTTTGTTTTGTTTTTTTTTTTT